GCGGCGATTTTTGCATTATTCTATGCCATTCTTATAATCCATCACTCGCTGCAAGCTGATTTTGTTGATGATGCAGACAAACAGCCGCTCTGATTTGTTACCACACTGGCCAAGTGCAATGCAAACATAATGATAGGCATCAGAATCAGAAAAGGCATTGTTCCGTGGTTGCACCCAGCAGCTGCGTGAAGGAAACCATTAACTGTGCGACTAAGCTTCAGCTTCGGATCGTCTGCAGCTCAAAAGCAAGCCAGTGGCAAAAGCAAGGCCAGGGCAGTCTCATTGCCATCGCTATCGACCAATGGAGCCCACGCTTGCTGAACAGCAGCGGTATAGCGGCAGCTTTTCGTGTAGCCAGCGTGCGTTTTAGACTTCGTTGGTGCATTTTCAGGCTCTAAAGATGCATCGAAATGTTAAACATTGGGTTTACTGCATAGCAAGAAGTATTTGAGCCTGAAATTGCATCGTAAAATTTCGTTGAAGCGGGACGATCGAAGAAAAAGTGTTCGTTGTGGCGACAATATTTATGCACTGACTCCTATGGACTGCTGATGGCGAATCGTGAATTTTCCATTGTAGCGGAAATTTTGTTGAAGCAGCGTTCGTTATAGCGGAGTTTGACTGTAGTCCAAAGATTAAAGTCAAGGACAGGAAACTGACCCGACGTTTCGTGACCGATTCGGTCCCTTCTTCAAGGGTGACTGGTCGGCCAGCTCTAAAGCTCGTGAATTATCTTAGCGGTGTCGTCCTCTCCATCGTCCTTCTTTCCACCGTTGTTGTTGCTGCGGTGTTTTCTCAAGTGGTTCTGTAGACCGTACACATATACACTAGGTAAGGTTCCAGTTGAGTGGTTAACATTTCCAGGTCTTGTTTAGATGTGCCAGGACTCTAATGTCTTTTTGTGTGGCTACTCTTCGTATTGATGACCTGGGCATTGTCGAAATGAATGCGGTAGTTCATCTTTTCGCTGTGTTCAGCGAGAGAGTTTCTTGCGGGATTGAGGTTACGCACATCATTTCGATGTTGTCGTATTTTTTTTCGGGAAAGTTTTTTGTCTCACCAATGTAGGTGGCGGGACAGTCTTCGCTTGGAATTTCGAAGACTAGCCCAGGGAAGCTTTCTTTCGGCAGTAAATTTTTTTGGTTGAGGCGAGATTCGCACGATTGTTGCGACGAATTTGTGCGCCACCTGAATGCCCTCTTTACCAAGCAAGCTGGACAGTTGCTCGCTGATTCCCGGTACGTATGGGACATAGATGCGGAAGCAATGTTTTGAATAGGCCTCATTGATAGGGTCATCCTTTGCAGAAGGCAGGTGGGGGGCAGTTTCGTGGTCACCAAGTCGCTGGCGTACTCGCTGAATAAAACTTTTCGGGTATCCATTGTCCAGCAGGTCGGCGGTGATCGCTTCTTTTTTTCGCAATTTTTTGGAGCTGCAGATGACCCCTGCGCGATTTAGGAGTGCCTTGACCAATGATGTTTTGTGTGCGGTCGGGTGGTTAGAAGTGAACTGCAGGTACCGTCCGGTGTTGGTGGGTTTTCGGTACACGACGAAGTTCAAACATCCACCCCTACCCCCCACTTTTTGCCTTTTCACTAGCACATCCAGAAAAGGAAGAACGTTGTTCTTTTCACATTCCACCATGAATTGAATCGCAGACTCGATCGAATTTAGGTGTGCGAATTTAGAATCCTTGACCACGCAAAAGACTTCATCCTCATACCTCAAAAATATTTTTGGTGGCTCAGCGAATGTGTCTGAAGCTCGTGCCTCGATGTGCTCCATCGTCAAGTTTGGCATTACTATACACAAAGCTACCAATCCTTGTAAAAAAGTTGCAAACAAAGCTTTCGCTGTCAGGAGTTCTTTAAAGTTCTATGTTTTTAGCCAACAAAAAGAAAATTTTAGGGGCTCGTTTGTATTTATTAGGCACAACATCAATGAGAATTTTAGCCAGGTTGTTTTCATACAGTGCAGATTCGGTATCACAAGTACTAAAATTATTCAGAGAGCTTCTTGAGTTTCTGACTACTTTTGACCTCCCAAAACATACATCACAGCAACAAAGTGCTGCTTTCATTTCTGCAAACAAAGTGAACTTTCAGGGTTCTTACTCTTAATTAAAGCAGGAAACCACAGCACATTTCTGTTGTCCATTAAAAGCACTCAGTATACTTTCACTTACACTAGATATTCCATGGATGTAGTCACATACGTGGTTACTAGAGACCGGATTTTTTACAAATGCCAATTTTGCTCCTTGAGTTTCTATCGTGCCACTTGGATATATGAGCCTGAATGATATGTTAAAGAGGGCTTTTATGGTGTTTTCATAGTGCCTATAAATGCCTATTTGCTAAGTTAGTGCCAATATGAACATTATTTAACCTCAAATTTTGCTTTCGAAAACAGTTGGAAACTGTAATTCATGTTATCAGGCAAAATTGACCTTTCGGAACTCTATGGGGTGCAGCATAGTTTCTCTAATTCAACAAACTTCTGGAAAGCAGCCACTAGCAGCAGTGAAATGGGACGCGCTGGCCACCTTACGCCACCGCAGTGACGCAGCACGGGCGGTTGAAGCAGAAGGAGGAGAAGGAGAGGAAAAGATGCTATTTCTGCAACCTTAAATGGAAGCATGTCCCAGTGTATACGATGGAATGGGAGAAAGGAAAATAAAGGTGGGATGAGGAGAGTGGCGTCTATGGCCGAGGATATGAAGAGCTGCTTTTACAGTCAGTGCTCCAGTCTAGTGTTCCCAAGAACTGAAGCACCTCTTCGAAGACCTGGATGTGTAAGAAGTGGGGAGGGGGGCAGGGAATATGAGGTGCCTTTGAGTAGCTGTCGACGGTGTTGTTGGCCGTGGCTTCTATCTAACATTAAATACAAGCTTCTGTGGATGCTTAGATTATAGAACAAGGACTTAATATGCACTACGAACATGTTTGGTATCATTACGGCTTCTCTCTTAACATATTTTTGAAAACAAAAAAGTACAGCAGCTGGACCAGCCAGCTGGGTGCTCTAGACAAGTCTGATTCTATCTGTATATGGGTCGGCGTGTAAGAGGCGTTCTGAGGGTCTCTAGTGATTGAAGTCCCTGCCCCGATATCGAATGCCGCGTGTGCGGCGAGTGCGCAGACATCCGAAATGGCAACCCCTCCGCTAGTGCACAATGCAGATGACGTCAAGCCTTATTATTTGGTATAAAAATACAATTTGTTAGTATTGCATTCATTGCTAAGAGCTTAAGTGCGAGTAATGAATTGTGTCTTTTGGACCCAACATCGCGTAAGTCAAAAGAACACTGCCTAAAGAGACAATGATCACTCCAATTGCCGAAGTGTTTTTCGTGCTGTCAGTTATTTGAAACGCGAAGCAGAGGTTAGTAATATACAAAGTTTATGAGCAGTCTCATTATGCCTTGAGATATAGCGTGCGTCAGCAACTGTGTTCTCCAAGCAACAAAACCTCCCCCCCCCCCCTGTTAAAAAAAAGCAATGAATGGGATGCTGTGATGTTCATTTTTTATCGTTTTTAACCATACGCTACCGACTCTGGAAAGTGAGGGGTGTATGTGCAACATGATGTAGTCGCTTCACAGTAGGTCTTCTGACACCACAGCTGCCAGTGATGAGCTACTGAAAGCTGGGCATATTAAAACCGAATTGCAACTGCTCCGACCATGACGCATGCTTTTGTTAATGAGAACAGTTTAAAAAAGCCAAGTGGAAATTTTGTATTCGGACCCTAGCAATCGAGTTTGAAAGGATAAGGACTTTTAGGGGGCTATTACCGCAACAGCGATTACAAATGCGGATGTGCTGCAGGAAGGCATTACGAAAGAGCTTTTCTGAATGAATATACAAGAATAAAGTATACTAGAGGAAAAGCGTCAATGCGTTCCCATCGTTCATGTGTTCTTCTTTCGACGTGAAGCACAGAAACTTAGACCATTATGTCCAGAAGTAGGCGTGACAAATATTCTGGCAGCATGCGTGAAGTTACTAGTGAAAATCCCTTCAATTACATGCCACGCAACTCTTAAGCTATCAACAGCGCTCCTGGAATGAACGACGTCCGCCGATGAATCGCCATTACAGTTTCACGCTACCAATTGGACTAGACGCCCCAAACCCCTGTGTAGAGCGCATTTTACCGTTAAGCGAATTTGCACAACAAAGGTTGCATCGGCACCAAACATTGCATCGTGAACTGTTTAAGACGCATGTGCGACTGCTGTTTATTCAGCAGAATAACTCTAGATACGCGATTGTGACTCTGGTGACCCCTAGAAAAAGGTGCACATGTCTTGACGCGCCGGCGTGAATATCCCCGGTGATAGACGATTCCAAATCAGACTTTGGCACAGTTTGGTGCAATCTCTGTTGATATTATCAGGATGGTGCAGTAAATTTCATTTGGCGCACTTTGGCGCACGAATGGAATCACTGGATGTGTGACGGTGCACGCGGTGATTTGGCAGTAATGGAAAAAAATGCAGCAGCATTTTGTTGTCGCACAGGCGAAATAGGAGGGCAAATATTGCAGAAAGAATGCCACAGTGGGCCACTGTGGCTCTCGAACACATATGCCTAGCAACATTTCTTGTTCATAGGGTATCCAGTGGCCAAAATATGCACCCCATGATTGTAGGACAACACACCTATTGTTGGTGTTAATGAATTGTTTTTGGGGATAATATTAACAGTTTTGAAAATCCATACCTGTATTATGCCATTTTCTGTATTCTCAATCGTGAATAGTGACACTGAAAAATCATATGAAAGGGGAACAAACCAACTGGGTTCTACTTAATTGAGCTCAAATTTCATGCATGAAAACTGAAGCAGAGTACAGAAAGGCACTTTTTTAGGCTGGTAAAATGAAAATCGTAACTACATTATATTTGTGCAAATATTAAGGTCTTGTAAAGCAAGTTAATAACAACTGAATGTTATCTAGCAGTGAAGAACTTGCAAAAATTTATATAGACTTACTTCTTTTCCCACCAGGATCTAAACAGCACTTGCGCATTACATATCCCTTCTTGTATTCAGTGGCACAATTTGGATTGGGAACCTGTAACAGTGAGGATAAAGCATTACTGGAATTTTAGACATAAACTAGAGTGCTACATTTAAAATGCCACCAATACCATAGCCACACTAAAGAAATGATATAGTCCGTACTGTCATCATACTATACCAAGAGATAAAGAATACAGTGCTGCACAATAGCACCACACAGCTGCCATTCTCTGACACACAGTAATAAGTTGCAGTTAACTTTCATCAAAACGTAGCAGCTATAGCCATGATTTGTTGATAAAATTTGTGATTAGCAGCAAGTCTAATGACCTTTAACCAAGCACCTTTGAGAATTCTTGTGCATTCAAAGTTGTTGGTACCATCGAGGCAGTGTTTGCCACAGACCTTTCTTACTTTGCTACTATAGAAGATTAAAGAAACTTAAATCTTTCACTGTTTTAAACCAGTCGGTAAGCTTTGTATTAACAGTAAATCCACCCCCCTTTGCCATGACAAACACCTGCAAGCGCTGTCCCTTCTTTACCTTCTACAAAGCCAACAGACCAAACCACGTTCATGGAACTAGTTCTACCTTTTTGCTTTTTCCTTATTCACATTTGCTGCATGCACCAATTTTATAGCTGAATTCATGCATATGTGTGAGAGTTAGTGACACTCATAGGTCAGTGAACTCACTCATGAATCTACTCAGTTGGACTCACTCAAACTAAGATTTCAGCCAAGTCTAAGCGAGTTCACTTTTGCTTCACGCAGCCATTTCATAGCTGAAATCATGCGTATGTGTGAGGGTTAGTGACATCATGGGTTGGCAAACTCACTCGTGAGTCTACTCGCTCGGACTCACTCACACTCAGATTTAAGTCAAGTCTAAGCGAATCTACTTTTGCTGCATGCAGCAGTTTTATAGCTGAAATCGTAAATATATGTGAGGGTTAGTGACGCTCATATGTCAAGAAACTCACTTACGAGTCTACTCACTCAGACTCAGATTTGAGTCGAGAGTCTGAGTCCGGGTCAGTAATATTATGGCGATTTTGAGCACGAGAAAGCTTGGTTGAAGAAAACATTCACCAGTGTGAGACCGCGCCAGTCCGGCTCGGGAACGTTGTGGTGAGTGAGTCTGAGCGAGTCCAAAGCGCAAGATATATTTTTCAAGAGTCTGAATGAGTTCCGCTTTCCTTCGCCTACCTATAGCTCCTATCTACTCATCTTCAGTATTACTATAAACCTTGCCTAGAAACACGTGTATACCCACGTCTACTCACACGTATCCTAAAGCAGTATCGATCATACACCATTTCAATGTTTATTGATCAGAGGAAGGCCCGTGCCACGAATTTCTTTCAAAGAGGGGGGGGGGGACTTGTAGAACCCCTTGAAAAACACTATTTTTTATTATAGAACCTCGTTAATTCAAAGTCGCTGGGGGCCAGAGAAATCTCCGAATTAAGAGGGTTTTCGAATTGACAAAACATTCTAGCTTGCAACTCCAAGGGTTAGGTTTTCCAGCAGTACATGCTCTTAATTTTGCCGCAAACACTGGAAAACAGTGGGCTTTGCTGCTGCCACTGCATTAAAAAAAAAAAAAAAAAAAAAAAAACCGCTGTCGTGATTAATTGAAATTTGTGTCTGCAGAAAACAAGACATCTTCACTGCAATACAGAGTGACACGCGGCAGCATGTCGCCTGCACCTCGCTTCGTCAGCACGTCATGACGCGACTATTCGCACAGTCTTTCGGGTATAATTAGGAATTTATTAATGGCCAGTATGACGAAACTCGCAATGTGTTCTGGTTGGAAAAAATTATCTTTGAAACTTCCGAACTTAGTTTTCGAAGTAGGTGTTGCTGGCACGAACTCTGCCAGAAGCGCAAAGGCGTGAATTGCTGGAGCAGCCGGCAATCGGAGCTTCGCATACATCGCGCATTCTGCCAAAGTGTCCTTTATTAATGTTTTTACGCTACCAGAAGGAATGAGCGAACCATGACCCGCTGACATTGCTAGACACATGCAATAAGCTTTCCGCGCGTTTTACTGCCGTGTCGCAGTGAAGCACGTCCAGTTTTCCGCAAGCACTCGTTTTGATTGACCACGAGACCGTTTTCTTTTTTTTTTTTTGCTCTGGAAGTAGCAAGGCTGGGGTGCTTATGCTACTACTTAAAATCACTATGCTGCATTGCTTTGTGGCTATTAAGGGCCATTGTTTCGGCAGATTGCGGCGAAATAGGGATGTGAAACTCGCACATTGTACTTAAAGATTTTGAATAAACCGGACTGATACCGGCCGCCACTTCAAATTATCCACTCAAGCTTGTATTGCAAAATACGGGACCGTGGAAATCCTTCGAATCAAGCGGGATTTCAAAATAACCAAGTTCTAAAGTCTGAATTAACGAGGTTTTACTATGTCATCAGTAAAACACACACCTCCATCCAAACTTCAGAGTGGGGGGCTTCTAAGGCAGCCGCCTGGCGATGGGCCGATCGGAGGTGTGAATAACATAGGGGGTACCTTAAGGTTCCCCCCGCCCAGCAACTATTGCAGGGAAGTTCTTGATAAATATATCTCATGCAATCATCTTGCGCAAGAAAAGCGTCAATACTGGATTACAACCACTTTTAACTTGTATTCAAAAGAACTATCGAAGGCACCAAGAAGAGCACCCATTACAAGAGATATTGACGTTAAAGAGCATTAGAAACCATGATCGAAAAAGCGAATTTTAGGCAAACGAACTCATGCATCAACTCACTCAGACTCGGATCAAGCCGTTAGTCTGAGCGAGTCCAAGTGGGTGATACTTTGTCAATTTCAGTCCAAGTGAGTCCAGTTCGAGTTTCACAATTTTGGCCGACCAATGGCAACACTGCAAGACGTGATCTTTTGGAGAGGAACTTGTGTGTTTCATTTTGATTTTCTCGCTACATCTCTTTTTACATCGTGCATTGCCTAGATAATTGGCAGACAGGATTGTCGGCACATACTCTATGTTCAAGGCTTGCCTATTAGCAATGTCCAAAATTTTAAGTGGACAATAAATTAATAAATAATAGCACTGTATCAGTGTGTTATCCGTTTCTCGTCTTCTTCCTACAGTGCACCAAAATAGGATAATGAATTACCAAACTGCCCAAGTCTACCCTCAAATAAGTGGGTCTTTAAACAAAAAGTTAGCAGTTCTGATGAAAGAGACCGAACCACTCACTGTAAGGTGGCAATAGAAGTTTCCCAATAGAATACAATATTTGTGCAGCACATATCATACAAATGATTAAAAAAGATTAATTATATGTATTGCTACTGTATTCTTTAGATTATAAGCTACACCTTTCCATTATAATGTCACACCACACACCCCAAATTGAGAGTTTAATTGTATAAATACACGTTGTCCACCCACCATGGTGGTAGAGTGGCTGTGCCACAGCAGTGCTAAGCCCAAAAATGTGGGTTCAATTCTCAAATTCTCATCTACAGCGACTGCATTTCAATGCGGGAAGATTAGAAAATTACAAAAAAAGTCGAATGCAGCAAAACTACCAATGAAACAACTGCATTTCGTGCTTACTTGCTTACGTGAAACTACAGCATTTGCTTGCTTTGCATCTTTCTTCCCATTTTGCACACCAAATTTCAAATGGATAAATAGGAATGATATAGTAGTAGACAGAGCAAGATTTTTTTTAGTGCAATGCAGAGTTAGATGTCAGAATTTCTGATATTATGCAAGCACAACAATATTTGCTGGGGTATAACGTCCCAAAACCACCATATGATTATGAGAGATGCCGTAGTAGAGGGCTCTGAAAATTTCAAACACCTGGGGTTTTTTTAGATGCAGCTAAATCTAAGCACACAGAACTCAAGCGCTTTCCCTTCCAGTGAAAATACGGCTGCCACAGCTGGGATTCAATCCCCTGATTAGCGAGTCAGCAGCAAAGTGCCTTAGCCACTAGCCCACCATGGTGGATTGATATTATGCAATCACTTAATTAGCAAATAAGTGTGTTCACTAATTAAACAAGAATTTGCAATGAAAGATTTACCACGATGCATAAGGCTACTACTAAAAACACACCATTGGTTGTATCATTGGATTTTGTAGCACTTTTTGAAAAATTAGCTTGGCATGAGTTAGGTGGGTCGCCCTGTATACAAGTTGCATTGCTGTACAATAGACATAGATAAACATTTTAGAGAAAAAAATGTAGCTCATACAGAAGCCCAGAATTCACGGTATTTATAAGTACTAAATGAATTTGGTCAGTCTTTCAAATATTTATTACATATTGTTTGCCCGATAAGGCTACTCGGGGGACATGGCGTAACGATATCTTAGCACATTCTTGTATTAAAGTTTATGTGAAGTCACGTACTTTACATAGACCTTTGCATGTATGCAATGAAAACATGCATAGAGATGTTCAACATCTAGACAAACAAAAATGCTATGCATAAAATGACCGACAGTAAAAGGTGTACACACTTCAAGGAAAGGATTGTGTCCAATAAATCCTGTTGGCCTGGCTTCTGTTGAACCTGTGTGATTATCTTGTGCTGGTACTTCCTGTTCAGAGTCGTCACTGAAATAGAATCACCATGTAGAAATTCAGTATCACGACTGTAGGTTAAAAAAATTTTAAATAAAACAAAATAAAATTTTTTTTACGTGAATATTTTGGGACACCTGCTGAAACAAAAAAATGGGATGTGGGTGAGAACAAGGTAATCCTGAAATTCAAAACATGTGATTGCTAAGAGTTCATAAATTGCTAACCTTATTACATAATGGTCTAGTTAAACACAAAGCAAGCGATGATGACTAAGCATGCACGTCAACTCTTGCTGAATAAAACAAGCATTGCTTTAGAGTCTTCTGAAACTGAGACATACATTTGTACCACTTTTAATTTTTCTTCATAACTTTCTAAATTTGCACTTCAAAAAATTTTAAATAAAACAAAATAAAAATTTTTTTACGTGAATATTTTGGGATACCTGTTGGAACAAAAAATGGGATGTGGGTGAGAACAAGGCAACACTGAAATTAAAAAAATGTGATTGCTAAGAGTTCATAAATTGCTAATCTCATTATATAATGGTCTAGTTAAACACAGAGCAAGCAATGATGACTAAGCATGTACGTCAACTCTCGCTGAATAAAATAAGCATTGCTTTAGAGTCTTCTCAAACAGAGACATATATTTGTACCATTTTTAATTTTTCTTCGTAACTTTCTATAGTTGCACTTTACCTATCACTTGATCAACTGAATTATCATATGCTCGAGAAAAAAAAAATCTACAAAGGGTCACCGTACACAGCCCACTCAAGCGGTGCTGTCTTGATGGACAGGTAGAGAGCCTTGAGCACTTCTTTGGGAAAGTTCTCGCCCTCATTCAGTTCGGCCAGATTCTCAATAAACTCAAGGCAGGTCATCTTGTGGCCAACATTCTGTAGAAGGAAGACAGAAAGGGCCGAGTGCTAAATTATGCGCCACAATATCATGACATGCATCCTTAGGAGGCAACCCCCTGTAATATTTTTTCTAATGAAATAAATCAGATATTGATACATATCAAGAATGCCGTTGTAATTTCACAATTGCAAAAATGCTGCATTGTGTTTAAAAAGAACAGCACCTAGTTAGAAAGCACAGATAAAAATTTAAGACATGTTTGTGGTGTTTGATTTTTCTGAATAAGTGAGCATTCATGAGTTGGATTTGTTCGTTTGTTTTTCGTCACTAAAGAGGAAGAGCAAAGGAAATAAGAGTAAACCATAAAGCAGTCACAAGTGTTAAGATTCTGCGGGCCTTATTTTCTCATATCCCTGTACTGTTTCTTTGTATCATAGTATTTATGACCAGATTTACAGCCAAGGACAAATTCCAGTGTGAATTTAAAGGCCTTCTGCATGGGCAATCTTGAACCACAGTGTCTTAAGATGTCAACTTCAGATCATGATTAAAGACATCAAGACGCCAGCATCTTGACATGACATCAACTTGACATACTCTAGGGTTCGTTGGCTCACTCTGATATTCTGAGAAGACTGCTGTGCATCACAGCTTCAAGGCAGACTCCAAAGACAGATGCTGTTGCTTCTCTGCCAAACTCCTTGCTAGTGTCTGGCTTTTTCTCAGGTGCAATCAGGAATATAAATGAATGCACAGAATGTGCTGATAAGGCATCTGTGTGATGTAATTCTGTCACTCAAAATGAAGAATCAGCTCCATAGCAAACATTGTTTAATTCATTATCATCGATGGGGTCTCAGTGACAGTGGGTCTGGTTCATTTGCAACACAAGGAACACATGCCAGGATAATGCTACAATCAAATCTGTTTCACATCATAGTAGCCTGTTAACAAAATCATGACACAGGCCTCTTCTATTAATAGACTGCTAACGTGGGCCATTTCAGCATGAGTACAAGGGGGCTCCATAACTACTCTGTTCTCCTTAGCCAAAGAAATGCCACCTACTTCAAGAAGTAACTAATATTGTCTAAGTAGAGATATAAAAAGATCATGGGACAGAGAAATGTTGAGAAGGTATTCAATGCACTGAAGCATTCAAGGCTGTATACCAGTGAATAACAGATACCCAGTTTCTCATCTAAGCATGCAAGCGAGCTTTTATTAGGAAAAACTTTGAATACACTTAATCTTTATTGTCAAGAGTACAACCCCACAGCTTAATTGGGCCCTGTTTGTACCAACTTCTCAGTTGGTAGCCTGGCTTTGCTTCTCAGTGAATACCTCCACCACATCATGAGGAAAAGAACATCTGTATGCGTAAATGAAATTTTGAAACTACCCTACTGCAAGTACAGTTTCAAAGTGCCCACTTCACCAGAATTCTCCTTTTTATGAACAGGGGAAGTGCCCACTACATGCCCGTAAGGCTAGATGTACGTTTGTGCAGTTGAACTTACTAGCTGCTGCTCCTGATGAATAATTATGCCTTACCACTTTACAATAGGTGGGCTTTTTAAACAAGCCACTCAAGGCACAATGCAGTTTTTTTTATGCCTGGTGAAATTCTATACACCTGCATAGAATTATCAGAAATATTACATGCTTTATAGAGGCTCCTTGCCTTACATGACATTCATAGAGGGTTTTGTTTCAAAACAAATTAAAAAAAGCCATGACATGGATTCGTGGTTTTCAGCAAAAACTGAAAGTGGAGGGTCTATTGTGCTTATAAATATATGAAAAGTACGCCATAAAAGAACACTTTGATGCAGAAGTCACAGAAGTCGCAGACCGTAAACTCTGCCCACCGCCGGCGACTGCCATTTTGCCATGGCACGTGCGATGCCATTAGCTGAAAGTAGCGGAGCTGTAGTCATTTAACAAATTTTAACCGCAGCAAATCGTTGGTGCCAAGCTGGAGAAAGCCAAGTGATCTCGATTTCATGCGCAGCTGACCATGAACCAATGTCATTCTCTTGAATACAGACGCTCGCACAGCTAGTGGCTTATTATTGCTCGCGAGTGCACCGTGAAGCCCGACTCTCGGGCAGCCCACATGTTTACAAAAATGTTCAATTATAAATTAGGCACTACACCAAATGCGCAAATATTTCGCCAGCTTGTTCGTGAACACCCAAGGACTAACCCACATAACACAGATTGTAATAGAAAATTAGGTGTCACGACCCCTTTAAGAACTGGCATTGCTCTATGGTAAAACAGCAGCTTGCCACCAAGATGGCCTGGGTTCAATTCCCATTTGAACCGATGATTTATATTAATTTGCTTGGGTCTACCTTGACACCTTGCTCATGGACAATGCAGATTGTTAGATCAGAACTAATGAAGTTGACATCAAAATTTCTGCGAAACGAGCTCTTTAACACTATTTCATTCAAATGTATATGTACAGTATTGACAACACGCCAATATGCATCCTCCTCCAAGCTCTGCTATTTAACTATGGATAAGCTATTGATCATGAATCGAACATGTGGAAGCTGCAAAATTAGGAACACGAAAGAACATGGAAAAGATAGAACTCGAACACAAAGAATGTTTTTATAGATATAAATCTCATGCATATACCAGTGAATACATCTGCATGCTGTCGACTATATATGCATGACTGTATATGCAAGAGCTGAATTAACTACAGTTAATTCAACTCTTGTTATTATGGTCTAGCCAGAACACCTTTGGCTAGTACCCATAAATTTCTACTCACAGACTCATGAAAAATGGTTCCTGTGCTTGTTGCTGCATCTTTCATGACACTCCTTCGTTTGTGGCAGATTATAGTGGCAGCAACAATATGGCCGATCCCCGTCATTCTCCTTCTCATAATTTTCACACTCCACAGCAAGATATTATTACTTGCCTATCATGTAGTCACGGCCTATTTCACATGCACATTCTTTTGAATTGTTTCAAAAGGCTTCAAACTTCCTCTCGTCACACACTATATGATTTTTTTCTTTTTTTTTATTGTAATCCAAATTTATTGGTGAAAATACAGAAATATTACATATAGATAGCATAAAAAAAAGGTCTCGAATTCGAAGATTGTATCGGGACATCTTTATGTATACTGGGACTTCCTCCTTTCATGGTTCTTCGGTACGTAGGATTATGATGGCACACTGCTATCATCATGAAAGTTTACTCAAAAGAGCAGTTGCTAAGCTACCAGCAGCAAAATTATGTCACATGTTTTACAGTGAAAGCTGTTAAGAGATCAAAACACAGGTCACGTATGGTGCTGCAGTTGTCTGCCGCCACCGCCGCCAGTGTCCTTGACCAGTATCGAAAGAAAAAAACTCGGTAAATAAAAAACACCGATGACACAATAGGATTTGAACCCGGCTTCGCTGATACCCAGCTCAGTATTCGACTACTGAGCCACGCCAGTGCTTAGAACTCGTTCCTAAACTGGCCTTAGGCAGGCTTGATGTCAGGAAAGGAATTTCGTTATTGAGTAATAAAGCATTTTAGAACATCGAAGGAACATCCAGGCATCAAACAATGCGATTTGCATAACGAGTGGGTCATTATATGCTGCAACCCATTAAAAAATTTGTTTTTGATCGCCTATTAACTGCGGCACATACCCACTTCAGGCATAATTTTTCATCGTCATCAGCCACTTCATAGAAAATTGCATACATAAATATTTTAACAAGTGGGTAGCGGATACCACACTTCTACAAATAATGATGAAAGATAGCATAGTGAATTTATTGAAGGAAAAACAAACAATGAATGCTGGCCTACTACACAAAAATTATTATTTATGTTGTAGTGGATACCAAGCAGTGTGCTTGCAGCAGTTACACAAAGAGTGTTTACAAAAGGGTCTTAAAGGCCCCTCTTCTAGCTTTCACTGTGACCATGCTGCGCGTTCTGCGCAATCCTGGCATTTTTTGGTGCAACAAATCTTGTGTAGTGGTATAAAAAACAGCCATGGTCGTGCCAAATTGGTATACGAATACCGTGGGCTACCTACTCATCAGCAATGTTTGCGGTTTCATTAAAAAATGTAGAATATCATATGCAGTCAGACGAAAGGAGAATGAGATCATGTGGCCGACATAATAACCACTTTCAACAAAACTTTTTTCTTTTTTTTAAACTAACAAATTTCCAAGTTTTCTTTCATTACAAATTCATTTTTTCAATATGAGCAGTTCACTTGATAAGTCCTGCTTTACTGTTATTTATTTATCATGTTCATCATTTGCTTCTAGTCAAAACTGGAGGAAAGCCTCAACAAACTAGTATTACATTTCTAAGAGCATAAAATTATTAGTTCATGAATGACCTTGTAAGACACAACTCCAAATTATAACAACCCTTCCGAATTGCTAAATTAATGCACTTATTGTTTTTTTTCTTCGAGCTAAGCTTCTTATGTTATCTACCGGGTGTAATTTCTTTTTTTTTTTTTCTATTGGCTGTGGCAGATAGCGCAATTCTAACCCTTCCAATGGGATTTCTAGGACAGGCAGACATTATTTGCAAGATAACCGAGAATGCATAACTTTCCAATTAATAAAAATGCAATCACAAACTTTTTTTTTTTACTAATCACATCAAGACACATATGGCAAAATCAGAGTTGTAGCCAGTGAGCTTCCAAAGCACACGCACTTGGGAAGAACTCAGAGGATCGAATAGGTTTTTATGATAGGTATTGTGAAATATGCATTAAAAATGCACTTTTTTCACTTCTCTACGAGAGTGTTACATTATGCAGTGAAGCACTAATATAACTGAAAGGGCAATATATTTTTCAACACACACTTTAGAATGACTATATCAGAAGTAGTGCAAGTCAGAAAAATTATTTAAACCCATACACATTACAGAGTCATTTGCTACAAATCATAAAATGTTGTGTGTCATAACTTATCAAAATTTATTGATTATACATGCCTCTTTCTCTTGTAAGTAATGTCTCTTTGGGTAATACAACGAAAAAACTACAATAGTTCAATCTGCCACAGATGATTCACGAGAACTATGCACAGCCAATAAAACACCAGGAATATGTTCTGTAAGCGTAATGACATGTCATGAAAATCCCAGTTCTTAGAAACTAACACATCCAACTGCTTTGTAGTTTGCAATCTCCCTATTTGCCACTAACACTAAGCTTGCTGACAAAGTTCATTAATGTTATGCAAGCTTTGCGAGATAAAAAATGTAGCCCATGAGCAAACATGTTGAACATACGAGAAGCATGAAAAATACCCTAACAATAGAAAGGGTTAAGCAGAGGTCTAAGACGGTGCTGAAAGGCATAGTGAAAACAGTGAACAATGTGGAATACTCACCTCGCTATGAAGGTCAGTGTTCAAGAGCATTAGTGCGCATGTGAGTGTGTGCACAGCATCTGGAAAGGACACTGGCAATTAGTGAAAGCAAATAATGCAATAGAGATCATTAATTCAAGTGACAATTCTCTAAGCATTGCCAAACTTGGTTAGATATGTGAACAGCAACTTAAAAAATAGGATCAAAGTCAATATTTTAAAACAAGAGTAATGCAACTACTAAAGAAGAATGGCTTTTTGGGCTAGTTTGTTAAATTCAATCATGATAAAGGTTGCAGCGCAAGCACAAAAGTGCTGGAAGAAAAGTGAACAGAATGCGAAGAATGGAAGGCAAAGAGGGACAACGTGAGCGCTCGTGTTGTCCCTCTTTGCTTCTCGTTCCTTGCGTTCCGTTCGCTTTATTCATAGCTTTCATCTATAGTACATGCGCCGACCGCAGATGTGTGAGGAGTGCTGCAACATGGGGGCTGGAGGGACTGAAAGCACCAAACATTATTTAAACATGCCGTGGGGAAGAGTGTCCACACCTAAATTATTTTTCTTACGCCCTGGACGCAATAAAGGCTTCACAGTAGAGTTTGCACATTCAGAAATACAGTCAATAATGAATAGTAATATGTGGACACATTAAATAATTGTCTACACGGATGAATTGTAAGAACCCATCAAAGTGCTGTGTACTCTCTTTCAAAAAATCTTGCAAGAAATTTGTTTTTCCCTTTCCTTACTCTGTTCCACTGGAATTCCTCGTTCATCTACTTACAAATATCTTTGCGTTCATTTTTGTTCTAATCTTGCCTGGTGTAGTCACATCGAAAAGGTATGTGCAAAAGCTAATAGAACTCTGATATTATTGTGCTGGAATCTTAATCATTCCCCATCTTCCATTCGGCAACAGGCCTATCTAACCTTTGTGCGCCCTCAATCGGAATACAATTCATCAATCTGGTCTCCTCTTTAACAATACACCTAATAGATAAAGTATAATGCATTCAAAATCGTGCAGTCCGTTTCATAGCATCAAAGTACAATTTGCTATTCTAGCATCACCAAAATGAAACACCATATTGCCCTTCCTACCTTGAATTTCTGCCGCGCTGTCACCATTCTATATATAAGTGCCATAACAACTCATGGGCCCCTCGCCTCTCGACTGAAATTTCTTCACGTACATTACGTCGTATTCATAATCATCTCAGTTTCAGGCACATCTTCGACCAAACACCATCATTTCTTAATTCTGCTTTGCCCCGCCCTATCACATTTTGGAATAGTCTTCCTGGTGAAATCGTTTCATTAAGAGATGCTTCAAAATTTCGTGAGCATTTGCAAGTTTATATTTTCCCTTGATTTTTTTGGTAAAAATGTTTTTTTTTTCACTTTTATTGTACTGCATTTCATTACCGCTTTTGTTCTTTTCCCTTCCACTGTACAATTTTCTTCGTTTCTTCCTCGATGTAGTTGCTTTTCATGCTTCATTGGTTGCGACTTTTTTTCTGTGAACCCCCTACTCAATGCTTTTCGGGGACCGTAGGGTCCCCTTGAAAACCCCTTGAAAAGGTCATGTAAAGTTTAGAGCTGTATTATACATGTATTAAAATTTGTATCAAGACCATTTGTTGGCCTAGTTAGTACTTGCTTAATGACATACTTTAGCCACAAAATACAGTAAAACCTAGTTAATTCGAAGTCACCAAGACCGAGAGAAAACTTCAAATTAAGCGGGCTTCGAATTAACAGAACATACAAAAGTGGGATGCAAGGAACTTAGAACTATTCAAAGTAATCGGTGCTCATCATTTGCTGTGGCGGCTAGCTTGCGGCTCCAAAGATAATGTTTTCCAGCAATACTTGGTCTTTATTTTGCCGTGAACATGAAGGAAGGATGGGCTTTGCAGCTGTCACCGAAAAAAAAAAGAGAAAAAAAAAAGAAAACGCGGTCGTAAGTGAAATGTGCGCCTGCAGAAAACAAGACATCTTCACTGCAACACAGTAATGACACGCGGGCAGCATGTCGCCAGCTCCTCCGTGCGTCAGCACGTCATGGTGCGACCATTCACACATAATTTCTATTATAATTATAAATTTAATAATGGCCAGTATGATGAAACTCACGATGTGTTTTGGCTGGAAAAAATTATCTTTGAAACTTTCGAACATAGTTTTCGAAGTAGGTGTTGCTAACAAGAACTTTGCCGCAGCGCAAAGACGAATATTGCTGGAGCAACCGGCAATCAGGGGTTTGAATACACCGCGATTTCCGATAAACTGTCCTTTATTAATTTCTTTACAATCCCAGAAATAATGGGTAAACATGACCCGCTGACGTTGCGATAAACATGCAATAAGCTGCCCGCGTGTCACCACTGGGTTGCAGTGAAGCATAGCTCATTTTCCGCAGGTGCACGTTTCGGTTGACCACGAAACCGTTTTTTCTCGTTTCCTTTTTTTTTTTAGCTGGAAGTAGCGAGACTGAAGTGCTTCAGCTGCCACTAACTTGCATCAATACGTTGCATTGCCTTGTGGCAATTAATGGCCGTCGTTTCCACAGATTCGCAGCGAAATCGGGATCTGGAATTGGCACATGGCACCCAAAGTTTTCGAATTAACCGGACTGGTGCCGGCCGCCGCTTCAAATTATCCACGCAAACTTACATTGCAAAATACGGGACCGCGGAAATCCTTCGAATTAAGCGGGATTTCAAAATCACCGAGTTCGAATCAATGAAGCTTTACTGCAACACAAACGCAGAGTAAATAAACACACCACAAGGACAAGCAGCACTTCCAACTAAAGTAGACCGAGCGCCAACCCAGACTTAAGTAACAACATACAGACAAGCGCAGTCTTCACACAACCTTACGCTATCTAGCTGTGAAACAGCCTCTTTTCCGATACGTACAATGTCACCGATGCGTTGTTAATACACCGTTTTTCTCTTTTCAATGTGATAGGCTTTCATCAAGTAGGTATAAAACTACGCCTGAGTTGATGGAGGCCCATTACATTAAAAAAAAAAGAAGAAAGGTGTATCAGCGACACGTCAGTGACGTACATACCAAAGAAGAGATTGTTCGATAGCTCGATAGCGTAAGGCTGTGTGAAGACTGCGCGTGTCTGTATGTTGTTACTTAAGTCTGGGTTAGCGCTTGGTCTACTTTAGTTGCAAGTGCCGTGAGTGCTTGTCATTGTGTGTTTCTTTACTCTGCGTTTGTGCTATTTTGTGGCTAAAGCATGTCATTATTCAATTTTGTATCTGGGAACTAGATTTTTGATTGTTTAGCAAATGTTACAAGAAATTTCGCAGGCATTTATTGGCATTTAATTAATTCTAAAAATTCAGAACTGATTAGCAAATATGTCACGACAGTGCTAATTTTTCAGCTAAGCTTTATTTATACTGCACATGCATTTATATTTGGAAGGAAATATCAAGATGAGAAAGCATCCCAGTCAAAAAGGCAGTGAGGCAGATAAGAGTCAAAATTTATCATAAACATGCACAAATACAATTAGAAAGTTTTATAGCAAAGCTAGAAGTGCTGTATTCCATTTCATTTACACTGCAGGAAATCTACGCTTCAGGTTGGCAACAGTGAGCCTTGTGTGGTATAAGAAGTGGATATTTTCAAAATTTTAATTTACGGTCTCCAATAGTATATCTTCCTAGATAGCACATGTAGTGGCAGTGCCTCGATACCTATTGAATTTGGAAGTTCAGCATGGAAAGCTAGATAATATAGCCACTTAAATAAGGTGTCTCTTTCTCCACAACCATACAACTTTCTTTTTTCCATCTCACATTGGGAGACATGCATATTTCACATACTTCGCTACAATGTATCAGCCTGTGGCATGAAAGTTTTGCGACCATTTTAAAAAAAAAACCTTGACATTTTTATGGCAAGTGAAAAAAAAAAGTAGTTCCTGCAATTTGGAAGAGCCTTAGTCAGTTTTGGCCTCTTAAAATAGGGATGGGGGGAGGGGGAGAAGGGGAAATGTATGCTATCTCTATTTTTGCACGTCTTACATGCCTCTTGCGTAAGAGACACTCAAATGGTTGCTGTAACACTGTCGAGATCGAAAGTAGTCTGTCTTTCTTCTCCTTGCTATTTTTTGTCACAATACATTATCTTTTTCAGTCAATTTTTTTTTACCCAATAAACAACTCATCTGCTGCCCCATGTTCAAATTAGGATGTCGGCTGTAGACTCGTTTTGCAAAACAGACACAAGTAATGGTTGATTTCTTTACAGCCTGATGCTCAACCTGACAGGCAGCACAAAGAGGGGCATAATAAATTTGTACATGCATACATAAAGATCTCTTGCTTGAGCCCCCTCCACCATACAACAGTTGGCTACAGAGAAATTAGGCTCTAGAGGTTCAGCTAAGGGTACTAGAGGTTAAAGGGACACTAAGGAGCAAAACGATGTTTCATGTATGAGGAAAGTACAATTTCACAATCCTTAAAACACCACTCTTACCGTTACACGACGCTTAGCAAACACGAAAACGCATGAAAAGGAAATGCGAATGGCGACGCTGCCTCACAATTCCCGTACCAAACACCGTGGCGAAAGAAATTTCGAAGGCGTCTACTGGGTTCTACATAACTTCCCATCGATAAAAATGAAATGCATAGTCATCTGTGGGTGCCGTAGACTTAGCATACGAAGTTTCATGAAATTTCATCGAGCCATGCCATGAAAATGCCAAAAATGCATTCTGAAATTTCTGAGATCACGTGTGGACATTTTGGCGTGAAACTTAAAAATGAAACTTCAACTTTGATCTCCTTCACTAATAATGAACTTATGATAGCAAGACATATGGAATTAGAGTTCTCAGAGTGTAGTTTGTCAATCTAAGCCAACTCATTGTTCCTCTTCAAAGTCACTTTAACTAGATCCTCTGTAACAATGAAAGACCTGAGAAAATGAAAATTTGTTCCGCCAGAATTGCCAAGTGCCGGGAAACTTTTGAACCACTCAAGCACACGAAACAGGCTTGTAGCCAGGATTTTTTTTATGTGGAGGGATGGGGGGTGAACACTTT